TGATGAAGATGATTATAAATTTAGACGACGAAGGTGATTTATGATACTGGATTATGAATAGCTTGAGGTTGTGAAATTCATCAAGAATGAGGAGAACAATGACCATGATAGATGAAAGGTTTTTTATAAAGATGAAGGTCAATCTATAAATGTATTTTACATTTTAACTTTAATAAGTAAAATAGTTGGTTTGATAATTTGAAGAAGTTTTTTAATAATCTAGAAAACTTGAACATCTATTTAAGTGTCCTTCGCTCTATATTCTAACTCGACTAGATGTAACTGTCAAAGAATCAAGAGAGTACTTTAATATCAGAATATCAACAGTGAAGAGTAGGAGGATGGAGGCGAAATCCCAACACGAAATTGCAGTATGTGTAGAATAAATTGATAATCATTATTGTAATCAGGATTGTTGATAAATTGGGCCGCAATTGAACAGGGTTTACATTTTTTGAATCACTATTGTGCAAGAATTGTAGACATAAATGTCTCCCTATTTGTAAACAGCATCGTATCACTTGTGGAATCAAGAACATAGACGTATTGAGATCAGTACCTTGCGACAAAAGTCCAAAGTGGAGACTTCCCACACACAGATTTGGGATTTCCTTGCAACTAGGGCCTGCAGCAGAAGCGGAAGCGATGACTTGGCCAATCATTTTGAACAGCCATAGTTGAATATTCCCATTCATCGTCATTCATTGCTAACCCTGTTTGATTTCGCCTATTGCAGTCAATCAATCATCACAAAAACGCCGTTGTTGCAATGCAGTATTCTCGCGATGACCGATTTCTCTTGACTATCGGTGATTATCGTGAATGTTCCGTTGTTATTTGGAGCACCATGGATTATACCGTACTAGTTTCAACATTTACCCGGTACCCGATTCATGCGGTCAGCTGGGATCCCTTCACAATGAACGAATTTGCGACAGTTGGCCAAAATGGCAGTGTTCTTTTCTGGTTACTGGATGAAACCAAGCAGCAAGCCTTCCTAAACGTAAGTTTTTTAAGCTCCATTTTTTCTCTTATCTCCTCCTCAAAATTAATTATCGTGGCTCTTTGTTTCATTAATTTTCTTTTCAAACAAGTAGACAATTTGAGTTCATCTACTTTTTTTGGAATTACTTTTAACTGGCGCTGTTGAGGCACGGCGAAGACTAAATATGCAGGTGACATCTTTATTTAATTATGTTGAATTTCCTAAAAATTTTGCAATAGGCTTGTTAATCCAAAAGAAGATAGCACAAAACAGCATTATTTCACGAAAGAACTTCTCCATATAGTGATTATTTTATGAATATGACGTAAAATAGCAGAAACCACTCTGAGCAGGAATAGATCGTAAGGATTTGTGATCAAAATGACTTATTAACTTAATCCTATTAATTTGCTCTTAGTTTGCAAGAACAATCCGACAATCAGTTAAACGCTCAATTTTACAGGATTATCTGATGACCCACGAATTTCGTACCAATGTAGGATAATTGATATCGGATATCAACCTTAGGTTTTTCCTGGGAGCTCGAGATGTTTATCAAGGGTCCCTCAGAACTTACAGAGTCCTCGATTATGTTCTTCAGAGCTTCATATCGCACATATGTTTTTAGCCAAATTGAAATCTCACAGCTTCAGTGACAACTCATTGTGTATGGCTATCTAGATAAAAGAGAACAACGACTAAAAATTAACTCCGATTTTAGTAATTGGATTTAATAGTGGTCGGGGACAAAGCAAGGAGTTCCTCAAGGATGAATCTTAGGCTCGTCGCTTTTTGACGTTTACATTAGCGATATATCTCTCGATTTGGACCAAAAAAAATTAATTACGTAGACGAAAATACAGTTTGGCTGTCAAGCGCTAATAGAAGTGAAATAGCTGACGAGCAGCCAAACTTGATGAAGAATTTTGTGAGAATTTTGTTATTCTCAATAGCGATTAAAGCAAGCTTATAACTTTAAAAGCCAACCGATCCAATTTGGAGCAATCTACAATTCAAGTGAATAATTGTACTATCGCAGAAATTTAGAATGTTTAATTATTAGATGTAACAGGGCAACAACTTAGATAGAAGAAAATATTGAAAACTTTTGTAAATAAACTAGAGAAAGGTGCATGCTTTAGCAAGAATTGCCTCTTATATGGATGAATCTAAGCCAATGCAGGCTTAAGGCTGAAATTGAGGTATCTGAATTTCCATTTTGCCTTACATTTCAGATACACGAGGCAGAAGTTCCTGAGGAGATTTTCAATGATTCACAGGTAGATTTCAGAATGTCTTTTTCTTTCGTTGAATCGCATACATAGTCAAAACTGTCAAAATCCGTGCTTTTTTATGACGGAATCAAATATGAATTAAATAACAAATATTCACTTTGGGCTTTATAGGTCAGATTTTGATTGTTTGTGAGAAATATACGGTGACGCATTGCGAAAAAGGACTTTTACAAACAATTTGATTTTTTGATAACTGACCACTTAATTGGCGATAATATGAGGAAATGCATCCACAAGTGTGTTCTTCTAATGTGACTTGTGGGCATTTTTCTGAAAGGGATGTACCTTCTGGACGTGACTGTGTAAAGCTCCTGTAGCAATGCTTTTTGCAAATTTTGCCAACATTGGTATTTGTCAACTAATGTATATTTATTTCTCCAGCGTTGAATGAAGTTAAACTATAGTATGCGATTGACTGTGTTATTCTATGAGCGTAGAGCTACGTCAGAAGGCTCGTCGCTATTAAAAGCATTTGCTTTCCGTTGCAGGAAAGCACTTTCGATATGACGTCATTGGCCTATGCTGGAGCCAGCGTGTTGTACGTTGGAGCAAGTAATGGTGTGTTCATTACATAACATATGAAAACAAAACTGTTTTTAATGCACATTTTAAAACCAGGACCAAAAGTCAGGGCCTTTGCAGGCCAGTGTCATGTTTAATCTTGCGACATAAATTTTTTTAAGACAAAACTACCTGCAATATATTTTCATTTCTTTAAACTTGTTTCCATCCAGACCTACAATCTTTAATGTCAGTTTTTTCTAAAAGCTGAGTAGCATTTGTGAAAAATAACTTCAAGATTCCAATCTTCACTTTTGCTTGAGCAGGAAATTGAGAAATTCTCCAAGTACCCCAACTTTGAAATTTGTGGAATCCTACTCCTAATGTTATATATTTACTAAATTGGGGAACAAAATAAATTTGGATTAGTTTTTTTGCAGTTACGAGACGACTTTTGTACAAATAGGATATCGAGTTTGATGAGCGAATAAAAAACATGTCAAGAATGCATCGTCATAAAGTTAAATGTTGAGCCAGTAATTGTTATGGCGGTTTGTTTTCGAAACGCCTGAATAGATTCGTGCAAAAGGATGATTTCAATTGCGTTGTTTGTTTGTTTTTAAGGAACAAGTTTGTACCGCACCTTTCTAAAAAGAGTTTTCATACATTTATTATTTTATGTTAAGTCTTCCCAGTAAATAGAATCTTTATGAGTATATGAAGCTTGTGATTCCGTATTTTTAATGCAAGCACCTGCTTTTGTCAATGCTGATACTAAAATCCAATCACATTTGAGACTTCTTAACTCCTTTATTCTGTGCCTGTGTTAACACAAAATGAAAATTAGAGAATCGTTTCATTTCAAAAATCATCTATTAACTTGTATTTAAGGTACTTAGGTATTTGAGGCAAATAAAATATTGAATTTAATCCAGTGAAGTTCTATTGACAAATGTAGTCATTTCCCAAATAAGCTGTAATTTCCTGTAGATACAAAACTGAACAATTTTGCGTCACCAGCATTTGTCAATTTGTAGAATTTGTCCTTGCAAACTTTTATAGAGCTTAGATGATATTCGGGGGCAGTGTTCGCAGCGACTAATTAGTCACAAATTGCGTGTTCCTTGACTAAGAAACTACTCCACAATACGAAACGTAGTGAATCTCTGAAAATTATTGAAGAGGCCAATTTGTAAAATGTAGAATTTTTCGATATCGCTGTATCGCCAATGTAAGGTTCAAATATCAAAAAAAGAATTTAATGCCATCAAATTATTTTACTTGCAGAAATAGTGACTCAAAACATCGGTTCTCTCGACCGAGTTAATGCCTGATGATTCTTGTTTATGTAGACAGAGACTGACCATTTATATGTAGATTCCAATATCTTGTATAATTTTCAGTACGACTAACAGTCTGAGATAACAGACAGTTTGTTTTTCATTTCAGGCGTCATATCTGCTTGGGACACCAGGCATAACTCTTGCTTTATGCATTGGAAAAGTGACAACTCAGAGATACGTTAGTAAACATGGCATTTTACATGATTTTTACCTCGTATCTACTAATCCAAGCATATCTATCTATTCACGATAATTTTATCAGTTCTGAGTTTTTATCAGATATTTTTGACTGGAGGTTATTCAGTCTTATATATTGCAAATATTCACACACACACGTGTTAGAAATGTGACGGGGTGAATAGCTTGGGTCATAATTGCTGCCTGCGACAAAAACTGTTCACTGTAATCATTAGCGGCATTTACGCTAAAAATCTAAATGCCGCTCTCTTAATCGCAAAGACGTCAATCATGAAGCAATCAACGCTGGTTTTGCTGTCATTTTCACGTTTGGATAACAAACATCGCTGTTTGTACGTGAAAAACGCTATGAAATATTTATACTTCAAATCTTTGCTCTATTTCCGGCTGATTTTTACTGTAAAGTTTGCAACAGCTGCGAAGAACGAACTTAATCCCACGCTTATTTGACTCAGCCTCACGTTTCTTCCAATATTTAATTGCACAGGCCCAAGCTGCTCCTAGAGAATCTATCAGCTAAGGCAGCAAGTTTTATTTCATGTTTCAATATTACTGCTTAGGTAAAATTGAAAGATAAATGGTCTAAGTATAACTGTTTGATTCTTGCACCGAAAAATTATCCAACAAATAATCAAACATGAGAAAGGGATTTATATGTAATTAGTTTGCGAATTCCCATTTCTACCATGATTGACGGCAAAGTATTTGTTAAGATGGCTTTGAAAAAAGCAAACATTTGAGTAAACTAAAGCTTTTCGTCTGACACTCTTTAGAGTTTAAAACTTCAGAACATAGATCGAAAACACGTTCAGTTCTATTCAGTTTTAACAATGAAATGTACCAACAAAAGGATGGTGTCGCTATGGGTAGCCCTCTTAGACCTGCCTTGGCCAATATCTCTGTTAGCTTTCATGAAGAGCGTTTGTTTGACAGCGACCAAAAGCCAGTTGTCTACTTTCCTAAAACGCCTTGATGGCCTTCACCCAGCCCTACAGTTTACATTTAAAAAGAAAAAAAATAACTCCTTAACATTTCTAAATGTTTTGGATGAAAAGTCTGGCGCCGGATTTCTCACCAGTGTATACCGTGAACCCACATTTTCGGGGTTATACACTCGATGGAGCCCAAAATAAACAAAAATCAGCCTCACCAAAACGCTAACTCATAGGGCACTGATGATTTGTTCCAAGTCTAAACTCGACTCGGAACTTGAAAAACTAACTAAGATCTTTCTGGAGAACGGCTATCCAGAGGATGTCATTTCTGTTTACATTAAGGAAAAGATAGCAAATTTCTTGGCTGATGTAAAATTTGATCCGCAAAAGTGCCCAGTCTACCTAAAACTACCCTGGATCGGTAACAGTTCCTTGCGTTTTGAAAGTCAAATAAAACAGGCCATTGCAAATTGTTACTTTGCAGTGAATCCGCGTATTGTTTACAGTACGAAAAAGGCCCTTCCATCCATTCAAAAGAACTGTGTTCCTACCATGCAAAGGAGTTCCGTAATATATGAATTTACGTACCAGTGTGATTCTGGCTACAAAACCCATCCCCAAAGAGAACAGCCACCTCGGTCTTGCAGATCTAAAATTACAATTGAAACCTGCGATTCTGCCATCAGGCAGCATTTACTGGAAAACCCAGATTGTGCAAAAAATTATAATGGCGACATGTTTCGGATTATTGGTAAAGCCCGATCGTCGTTCCATCTAGCAGTTTTGGAATCTATCTACATAAGCACGAAAAAACCGCTATTGTGTAGACAAAAGGAGTTCGTTTTCACCTTAGGACTCCACTGGTAACATTCTCAATAGGCAAGCGGCACTGATTGGTCGATCTCAACAGTCATGTGCTCGCGTTTCTGATTGGCCTATTTCGATCCACAACTACAGCGTAGAGTTTTCGATCTATGTTCTGACGTTTTGAACTCTGAAGAGTGTCAGACGAAAAGCTTTAGTTTACTCAAATGTTTGCTTTTTCAAAGCCATTTTCAAGTTTTGTTCCACTTAAAGATTGTTTGCATATTTGTTAAGAAGAGGCTTGAAACCCTGTTCTTGATTTGATAGACCTAATTCACAACATGAACCTTTGCCTTTAAGCGGCTTACGCTGTGCACACCAGCTTTATGTTAAGCGGAGACTTTCAATTTATCTTTTGCAGGCTTCTTATGATAAAGCTTAACTAATTATAATAATTAAATAATAATATAGATATAAATCAGCATAAATACTTAAATCGGTGTCTTCCTGATATACAATCTATCTTATTTCAGTCTATTTGATTTTTATCATGTAAATTCAGCAGTGAATTTATCTGCCAATCTTATATCAGCTTCCTGTTTCTATCTACGTTTCCGTTGTCGAAAATTGAATTTAGGACATTTATCTCTCTAAGACATTTCCGTGACAAATTAGGAAAGGAGACATAGGAAAATCAAAGTAGTTTGTTAGAAAATTACGATACTTCTGGAGTAAAACGTTTTGGCTCAGTGCTAATCGACCAGTCACAGCCAGTACCAAGAAATTGAAGCATTGATATCCCAGCATTCCGTTGCATCGATACAGTTAAACCATGTTTGGGAAATCTAGCGTAGCAATATCAAGCTTTGCCTCTTTGATTCGTAGACCCTATCTTCATTTGGAAAGGGGGGGGGGTACCAGGGCTAAGGAATATGCGGGGGACGTAGACTAAGGAATATGTTGAGTGGGTACCAATACCTCATCAATTTGATTTGCCTTTTAAATTGTATTTCAGTCCAAATGATCGCCGAGAAAGATAAATTAATTACCGGGGGAGCTTCCAACAATCTCTGTTTGTGGTCCGTTGCTGGAGTTGCGGGTTTACGGGAACAAGAAGACCCAAACAGGTAAAATATCACTTAATATAATATTACGAAATACGATATAATGTTATTAAATGCAATATTATGAAATACATATATGATATAATATAATATAATATAATATAATATGATATAATATGAATATAATATATATGATATAATATGATATAATATAATATAATATAATATAATATAATATAATATAATATAATATAATATAATACAACATGAATAAATATAATAAAGTGCTGTGTGATATCATATGCTGTATATGAAGTATAATAGGATATTGTTAAATATAATACAGCATATTATAATCCAATACAGTAGTATATAATGTCATCTATTATCATGTTGTGTGATGTAATGAAAATAAAATGATATAAGATAATAGCATATAGTAAATTACAATGTGATATGATATAATATAATGCAACAGTTTAACATCATACAATGTTATTTAGTAAAGAACGATACAGCAAAGTATAATTTGATACCATATCATGTCTTTTAAGTAGCGTCCAACATTCGTATCATACGATAAACATAAAGACAGGTTTTCGTTAGTCTAGTATCGATCTCTCGATGTTTTTCAGCGAAATTCTTGCCCGAAACACTCTTGTTATGGATGACGAGATGCAGTTGGATGGTTGTATCATCAGTGCCGTTTTTGATGGCAATTTAGACGTTGGCGTCGTTGGTACTAATGGTGGCACACTATGGTACATAAGTTGGGAAGAAAGAACAAGTATTCGACTTGTCTCTGGTCACACGGATCAGGTGGGTAATTATCATGAGTCATCTGCTCTCTAATTCAATTACCCTAGGGCAACCTCTGATGGTGACCCTTCATGGTTGATAAAATTGCACCACATTGTATTGTATTGTATTGTATGCATTGTGTTGTATTTTATTGTATTGTATTGTATTGTATTGTATTGTATTGTATTGTATTGTATTGTATTGTATTGTATTGTATTGTATTGTATTGTATTTGTTACCTAGCTTCCAAAGATAGTTTTGGGACACTGAGAAACTATACTTAATACTTATCGAGCAGTGTACTGGTCCTTCCTCGATGTGACAACACCTCGTAATTCCTGCGCCTGGAATTACAGAGAGTTGGCAGCTCTCTTCCCGACCCTTCCTCGTTCCACAACCAAGGAACTCGGCGTTTACAGGCAATGTTTATGGCTTTTTTTCGTTTTTGTAGGTGAATGGGCTCATTTTTGGTGGGCATGATGATGATTACATGGTGTCTTGTGCTTCTGATGGCAGCCTTAGACTCTGGAACACTGATTCTTACGAGCAAACTTTGCAATTTTTAGTCCTTAATCAAGTAAGTTAACTCGAATTTCTTCAGGAAATGGTCGTATCGCAAGAAGAGACACTTATTGATATCATTGCCTATAATCGGCAGTCTAAATTTCCCATCTTTTTTCCTTCAATTCAGCAGCATCAAGTTCTGCTTGTTCCCCCGTTTCAGTCTCAAACAATGCATGAAACTGCATGTGATTCTAGAGATTGGTCATGTATGCCGTGAAACTTTTAAAGAGCTTCATGAAGGACTACGTTTCAAACCTTTATTATCGATACAGACGACCAAACTCGTTGTCACTCCAAATGCTGCTTTTAACACGAGCAGAGTATAATTATACGGGGAGCTTTTCTAAGTAACTATATTGGTTTGAGCCTAAGTGTCAAGTAAATTTGATAAGCAATACGATTTAAAGGATTAACCACAGCCAGATAATTGTCTGCTTTTATCTGGTATCCTCTGTCTCTCGTAGCACTGCAATGCTGTTGCTTTCAGGCCAGTCCCACAACCAACTCCTTTGCACACACTCACTCAAGACGGACGACATGAGACCACGATCCGCCCCAAGTTGGCTACAAAATCACGACCATCACAATGTGTGGCTGGCTACAGCGATGGTACAGTCAGAATGTTTGATCTCGGCCTTGCTGAAATGGTTCTGAAACTGCAACCACATCCGGTGAAAGTCAATGCCATCTCTTTCTCTCAAGACGGTTTGTTTCACTATTTCTATACGATCTTTTCTTCTAGCTACTATCTCAGTAAAGCACCTTTTTCCTGCATAGAACACTCAAGTATCTATGCTGCACTTTTTGCAAACGGTTGCTCGCTGTTCAACGAATAACGGCAAGATTATTTTAGAAAGACGATGAGATTTCATTCCAAAGATGTTTGCCATTCAAGTTGTCATAATGATTAATTCCCGAGCTTTGTTAAGTTTATTAACATGTTCCTCGACACCTCCAATCGATAACACATTCGTCAATTTTTGCATTATGTAAATTTCTTCTGGAGAAGTTTACTGCCTTCTACTTCTTACTAGAATGTTACTGGACAATTTTTTCATTTTAAAGAATGGTTGCTCCGGCAAAACGTTCCTTTGATGTTTTCTCAGACTAAGAAACTTCTTATAAATTTCTCAGATTCTTATGGATTTTCCTTCCGTATATACTTACCTCCTTAAATTTGACGTAACTGCCCAAAATTTGTCTAGTGCAGAAAAAACTCACATATAAGAAGCTCACATTTAAGAAACTGCAGGCTAAATTTTTCATCAATTTAAACATTTCTCGTCATGAACTTTGCTTTCGCCTAATACAACACTCGTTTTTGTTCGATTTCATCGCTAGCCAGATGGGTTTACATGCTCCCTGAGCAACATCAGCAACACCTTCTGACGTCACTGGGGGCATGCTTTGTTTCGCCTTTATTCTGTGTTTTGGCACTTTCCGAGCCCTTTAACAACATATTCACATTCTATCTTCGGAAATAATTCAATTCATCGAAATCATTAAAAAATTTCACATTGGTTTCAAACAGAAAGAGACGTTGTGATTTTTGGACCTTGGAAGCTCTTTAACAGCTTGTGCTGAGAAGCCGTTTTCAAAAACAAACCACCTTTAAAATTACTGAATTTAAAAACTGACATATAAAATCACATTATGACCTGTCTTGAAGTCTAATTTACATTCTTTCCAGACTAGTCCTGCTGTTTTCGTCATCTTATCTTTCTTCAAACTTATCAGACTTTTCACAATCTATTCCTAACCCTATTCCTTTTATGAGAAACTGTACAGTTTGATCCGAAAAATGAGTTTCTTATATATATATATGTTGATGAAGACTTGTCGGTGCCTTTGAAAAAATTGCATCACATACATTTCCATTTGGTCGCTGGTCAAATGAAAAATCTGTGACATCAAATTAACAGGTAATTAAAAAGGATTAATTCTTGCTGCTTCGTACAACTTCAAGCAACTTGTATGGTCGTTTACACGATTACATTCTATGATCACATAAAATATGTGATGCAAATATGACCTGAATATGATCGTGTAAACTGGCCTCAACACATGCAATCCCTGTCAGTTGCTAATACCCATTAAATGCGTTTGATTTCGATCTATTTCCATCGCTACAGGTCGTGTGATAATAAGTGGCGCTGAGGATGGATCGCTGGCGGTAAGCAGCCCTGCGACCGGAATGACCGTCCGGATGCTTAAAGACCACAGAGGAGCCCCGATCACCGATATTCATGTCTCGGCCCATAAAGTAAGTCAATCCGGTTCCGATACCGGACCTTATTCGGTACTACTTAAGGCAAAACCTGAGATTTTAGATCAAGTACGAGTTCAGTTTACCATCCTACGTTATCAAGACGTTACATCGCGAATACGCGAGTGTTGCTTGAAGCTATCAGGGTATACTTTCTATATCCTCCACGTCAGTAACCATAAATTTTATTTCAAACAATCTTTTGGTGGTACAAAACTTGAAAATGGCTTTGAAAAAAGCAAACATTTAGTAAACTAAAGCCTGACGTCAGAACATAGATCGAAAACTCTACGCTGGGAAATATATATACCCAGTTGTGGATCGAAATAGGCCAATCAGAAACACGAGCACATGAATCTATCGCCATTTTCAAATTTTATTTCAATAGTCTTATAGTCGAAGCGTCACCATCTTGCATTTTAGCTCATTTGCTAATGATTTGCTGCCATCCAATTTTTGCCTTCCTTTGCTTTACAATGCAAACAGAGGTGAACCTCTGGTTTGAAGCTGGCATGGTTTTCCAAAATCTGATTATTTACAGCAAGCTGCCTCTAATTTTTAGTTTTGTGCTGTTGTCTGTTGTCGTGAAGAAATCATGTTTAAATATTGTCTATCTGTATGTCGTTTGTTTAAAATCTACAATTCTTACTAAAACGACTTGGAATACACAACAGTTTCCGTTCTGTTTCGCTTTTTTTCAGTGCCCTCCCTCCAAATACACCACGACAATTTAAAGCTGCTTGATCCAGTTATTTGCTGGGGAAAGAGGCTGGCCATACCTTGGCAAATTTGTAAAACATTTTATTGATTTTAAAATGGCCATAAAAAAGCAAAAATTTAATTTAATTAATTTTGCATACTTAGAGGATTTTATTTTGCTCTTTCAGGTTATGTGGTCCAAATTCGAAAATTCCTAAAATAGATTTTTGTGAAGTCATTATTTAAAAGCTGTTGTCTGTTTTGCGATATGTAAGTTCTAATACGTTGTCAATACGATGTATGAAAACTAGCTTTAGCAAAGAGTTTTGCGGAGACATGAGATTATTCTTCTCCTGATTTCCCTGTCTTAGGACCACTCGTATTCGTTGTCATCCCCGGCGCTCTGGCTTGCTGCAAGTGCAGATCGAAGGGTCAGCATCTGGACTGCTGATTGGTCAAAAGATTTCTGTGAGCTTGTTGATTGGCTCTCATTTCCTGCGCCGAACTTTGCACCAGATGGGACATTTGTCAAGAAGACTGACAAGGTAGTTAGCGAAAAAAATCTGCGTTTTATCAAAACATGTCACTGTCTTGTCATTTAATTCTTCATGATATCTAGGATTTTCACCTGGCAACTGAGCTATCTCCTTTTAAAACGATATTTGCTAAAGTTTGTATGTTATATTGAAAGAAATTATTTTTCACTGTCAAAAAAAGAACGGTCTGCTAGAAGAAACAAGATTTTTACAGCAATACTATCCTCTTATTGTAATTATTATTGCCTTTCTTTTCATCGTTTCTTTCCCTTTTTTTCTAGGATTATTACAGTCACTTTCCTCCAAGTCTTGCACGGTTTTCGCCGAGTGATGCAGACATAGTCATATACACAGGTTACGGCATGAAGAAACAACTCGCTTATTACAGCTTATCCCAGAAGAAGGTAAACCATTTAACCTGATGTGTCTTTTGATAAACAATAAAATAGTAGCTACCCCTATTGGAAAACTATGTTTCTTTCGTGTCTCTTGGTGTCCTTTTCTAGAACTATCTGCATCGGCACATACCTAAGTATTTCTGCATGAATGTTAGTAGCAAGTTCTGTGAGCTACTTTAAAGTCCTAGCTACATATATAATCATTACGATAAAAGTCCACTCTTCCCCCTCCCCAGACTCTCTGGACCCTCCTTTTTTCCCTACATTCTCCCACAACTCTAGCACCATTCTTCTGTACCCTCCCCCAACCGTTCCACTTTTCCAACCCACTGCTACTTCCTTCAAGCCTCTGAATCCTATCAAAATCCTCTGCGCATTTTCCTAGACCTTTGAAGCTTCCCCTAACTCCACGCACCCCGACCCTTTGTACCTTCCCACAACCCTCTTCGCCCTTCCCCAATTTGTTTGGGCTCGTTCCCTTCAGCTCTTTGCACCGTCCTTCCATCTCTTACCCTTAAATCTACTTGACTTAAATCTACGCAACAGTTCTGTCCAGAGATTCTTTGCACTGATATTTTTGCCAAGGACTGTGTTTTCGTTTCTAAGCAACTCTGTGCTTTTTCTTTTGAAAACAATCCACAATTTCAATACTGAAATTAGGATGTTTTCTTTACATTACCTGTACATCCCAACAATTGTCAATCGATTTTTGTAAAGTTTTAAAAAGCATTTATCAAACCACCTGAAAGCAAAATTTAGGATCTGAAATTGACTATTAAACAAGCATACTTTTTCAAATATTATATAAAACAATTAACCGCTGTATTCACTTTTGGCATAATAACTGCTCTTTACATCCATAAGTTCCATTTCATCTGTAAATTATTCATTATTTGTTCAGATTTTTAATTAATTTACTTGTAACTATAATTAAGGATGATAACCTGTGCAAATATTGGAGTACGAGCTTGTTCACGATATCGTCAAATCAAATCTCTGGAAAGATTGCTGTTAATCTTGAATCGGAATTCCTTGCCGTCAAATCTAAACATAACGAAACTGATTTCTTGACATCATGGTGTCTTACGACTTTTCATCATGATTCATCATGATAATCATGATAATTGGCACTGTTACCATTCTTGCCGTCTTCATGATAATGATAGATACATTTCATTTTCAATTCATCTTTTACCCTGGGTACCAGATCCCACAAGTCAGGAGGAGAATGAAGACGAGTCGGGATGAAAGGAGATAAGAGACCTCTCCCAATTTCTTAGGAACAAATCTCTCTATTTTTAAGTTTAACCAAATTATTATAGAATGGGTAAGATATAAAGGAGCCAAAAACATATATAGTTAAAAGGAAGTCAATTTGCGTTTGGCCATAGTCTTTTTTGCGGCAGAAAATGTTGCAGAATTCTTCAGGGTGACGTCTTAAAAATCTTTGTTAGAATTTTTAAATTTTGACTACAAAACCTAAAAGAACATCAAAAAATACTTTTAATAATACAGTATCAGTCAAATATGTTCAAAAATTTGAAAGGTTTAGTTTGGTGACGTCATGACTTAGAACTCTATAGATGATACAATTATTAGCGTTCTGAATCATCCGTCATCATCATCATCATGATTATCATCATCAGCACAGCGCACACCGGTACGGCGACACAGATTCCGATCAATCAATGTAATATAACATATATTTTTATCGTCGCTGTTTCTCTTGTATAACTTTCAGGTGTTTAATCGGCTTAGCATGATCTTCTTTATTCAAGATTTCAATCGGGCTGTTTCATTTTCCATGCAGGTCATTCGGGCTGTTTCATTGACGGAATGGGCATTCACCATGGACATATCACCAACTGAAAATTTGATTGCCGTTGGTTCTAAAGGTGTTAGCACTTCAAACTTACCTTTATTCGAGTAGCTTTCCTTTTCATCGATCCCTTTATCTCTCAAAACAAGATTAATTCTATGTTTGTAAATTTTTTTTTAATAAACAGTTCTCATCTTATTCTATAAAATGCTGTTGGGGCTTAGGCCACCCGTTACATCTGGAAATCTTAGGTCAAAAATACAGATATTATAATTCTTGAAAGAAACTTTGAACATGAAAACTACACTTCAATTTATTTTCTTTTATTCCTTAATGCATATTTCTTAAAATCATTTGTCTTTTAGCAATTTATTTTAGATCTATTTTGATAGGTTTGCTGTAGGCATTTGAATGCATTGGTTTTCATGATTTTTCAACAGTTTATGTATTAGGTAATTCCCAGAGTCATCGTAGGTAATTCCCAGAGTCATCTAAGGTAATTCCCAGAGTCAACTAAGGTAATTCCCAGAGTCATCTTGTATATAGAGACAATGATCAGGATGGGCAACATACGTTGTTTCTCATTCTGTATCCAATATTTTCAGACCCTTCGAATAGGTATGATAACTCAGGATAAGGTCAATCCATTATGGCAAAAATTTTATTGAAATAGTTTATTGAATTTGTTAATTGATACATAAGAGCACTGCTAAATCAGTCATCAGTGATTTATTTGACTGCTTTGCAGAAATACTTTGTCGAATCAAGCAATTAAATAATGACATAGAATCACAAAGAAAAATGAAGGCTAGAAGTAAAAAAGTAAAAAGTATCATGGTATCATAAATGAGCAAGGGTTATCATAAACAAAAAGTAAACATCATTGAACTTAAGATATATTCCTACTCCTAGCGACCTTTGCTTTTGTCAAATTCCTTTTTTTTCGTTTACCTGCAGATCGACTCTTGAAGATCATCGATTACAAGGAAGGAACATTCCAAGACTTTGTTGGACATTCTGACTCAGTTAAAGTCGTAAGATTCTCACCCACTGCTAGGTTTTTATTTTCTGTTGGTTTTACTGACGTATTCGTCTGGGAAGTAAATGCCTAATTCCCCGTTTTGTTTTATTAAACTTCAACAATTGAGCAATAGTAGATTTGATATTTGTCAAGCTGTGTAAATTTTAGTAGATGAAGCCTTTTAGAACTCTTGTTTCTTTTCTTAGGGTTCTTGCGAGTTTTGAAAATTATCTGTAAAAAAGCCCTCCGGAGAAAGATTCTGGTTGAAGTGTTGCATTTTCTATTGTGATCATCAGGTGTTTTACACAACATTACCTGCAACAATATTTTCACAAAATTTGATCTTTCACTTTCAAGCAATTATTATAATTCTGCTCACACTATTTTGGGTAAAGCAATTTTTTCTTGTGGATAAATGATGTTAGCAAATCCCTTTATTCTATTTATTTATTTATTTACATTTATATTTTGTTTTGATTATATTTGCAAACATAACAACGCAGGCATAACACTATAACTCACCTTAAAGACCTCAACCATTCTGTACGATATTTTTAACATTTCCCAAATAGGCCCTGTTCTTTTCATGCTAGATTTTGAGAACTGCTCCAAAAAAGTATCCCAGAAAAAAACCTTCCTAGAAATATCTCCCCGTTATTAAGGAAAAATGGAAAAGAATACAGAAATTTAATCCCTTGCAAGTCTGGTGATCAGAATGAGTAATTTCTTGATGTTTAGCGGTTCAGTCAAGTCCCTTTTGCAAATTCACTCCACCATGAGATGGGGACGCTGGTATTATGCTCATGGACCCCACCATTAAATCAGAATTCCCCTGGCTATGGCTATTTTTTGTCCCCAGTATCTATCATCCATACAGCACGGCTTAGTACGGCACGGCTTAGTACATCTGTGTCAAGGAAGGATGCAGGGGGCAGTATAAGGACCGCGGAAGCGGGGAGCTGAGGGGGCTATAGCCCCCCCCCAATAATTTCCAAAATGTACTTAAAACCATACAAATAGTCACCCTGTTCTTGATTTTTAGCATGTTTAGCCCCCCAAGCGTTTTAGTACCCCAAAACGTTTTAGCCTTCTCAATCCCTAATATGCTCCGCGGTTGTTGGAGAGTATATCCATGCTTCGAAAAATGACTTTTTGTACAATGCATATAACTCGGCTAAGGTTTGTAAAGAACAAGAAATTGAGCGATTTAGACTTCTCCTTTCTTGGAGACAGTTCTAGGGGACCTGTTCCATTTTCACACACTTTTTGTAGATTAATCGTTTTATGAACAGCCCTGTTCCCTGGCTTTATTCGCCCCACACATTCCCCAAACCCTCACGTCTGCACCTTCGTCCTGCATTCCTTATGCGACTATTCACAGTTGTGAAAAGAAGCTCATTCAGCAAAGTGCAACAGGTACCAGCACAGTAATTGGTTCGTCCATTGACTTGATTGCAAAAACGTCTATTGACTTTAAACGTCCTTGAATCCCCAATCTTCATCAAAGTGTCAAATTTCCATCATTTCGATCGATCGCTATTAATGTTGTTGTGCACGCAAGCTAGGTGGTTTTATATTGTGCTTACGCTGGCGTGCACGCAAAGATATTCTGTATTCAGTTCAGTAACCAGTTCGGATGCTTTTTTACCCCTATCTCTGTACTTTAACGCCCATTTCCCGTTAAGTATACAGTATTTGTTTTGTATACAGCTGATTCATCTTCACGACATTTTTCGTACGAATATTTGTTCGAATAAATGTCAGTGGGTTTGTTTTTTAAGTTTCACAGACAAGGCTGCTTCGTTGCGCCGTTACCCTCTGTAGAATGTCAAATGATAATCGCAACAAAACCGCTGCGCTGGAGGTGACGTACAATCGCGTATAATCCTAATTTTGATTTCAAGGAAAGTCTTCCCCTGTTTTAATTTACAATTAGCATCGATAAATTACCCCGTATCACATAATTCGGGCCTAAGTTGCCAGCTAGCTCTACCCCGGATAAGAAATATTGGAGTGGTTCGACAAGGCCAAAATTTCGCAAACATGGCCTTTTATTACCACTCACCCCATCTTCTTAGCAGACCGACTTTGATGGCCGCGTACGCCTACGGCATCCCTGCGTACAATGATTTTGGAACCGAGGCTTCCTTTTGATTAGCTTTATCGCGGCAGATGTTTTTCAAATGAGATTTCTTTAACTACCTGTCGAGGATTTCAAATGACAGATCGTTGGTTGGCATCTAATCGAAACAACTGGATCCATACGTTGCTCCTTCTCATTTTGACAGAAAGGCTGTTACTTTGGAAGTATCTTTTTAAAGCTCCCCTTTCAAGGCAGTTTGACACTGGAAGAGCGTTGTAAGTTGTATCAATTTTCTTGGTTGTTCATTTGGAAGAGCCTCTGCAATATGACTGCGTATAAAGATTCCTGTGCCGATTACCTTAACTAATCACAGACGCTTAATTTGCTTCTGATTGGAGATTTTAAACTAAAGTTCATTGCATGAAAGATAGCATAATTCTTATCAATGACAACTTTGAAAGTATTTAAATCAATATTTCTCCTTATGGATAAATTTTAAATCTAAATATTTTCCTTGTTAGCTTTTGTTTATTTCAATCTTGCTTTTGTATTAATTAACTTTTGTCTAACCTCTGCTTTGCTCGACATGAGTGTTTTGAATTTAAATGTGGTTTGGTTGTGATTTGCGTAATCACTTCAAGATGCGTTAGGTCAAGGAAACTCTTGAATCCCAAAATGACAACTCCAAAAATAGAGGCGTAACGATGAATATAATACAGCTTGTTATGGTGTAGTTAAATTGCTTCTATAACGAGATTCTGAGATATTCAAGGTTCGAGTGTCTACTGCCAGCTGTGGCGTTTTCTTCAACCACTTTGAAATCTGTCATTCGTTCCCAAAGAAGAGAACTTTGTTTCGTTCGTAAGCTGAAATAATTTTCTTGAATACTTTATTTGCCTTTCTTTAAAGTGTGCCTTCAGTGGAGATTTAGGTATTTGTTGCACTACGATGTTCGAGTTAAATTTGTTGTATCTTGCGCTTCGGACTGTGACACATGTATGATGTCATAGTTTCATGTCTCCATTTCAGAATAAGATATTGTCCATGCTTATCTTAAAGATTCAATAAAAGTTGCTTTTATCAGAGGCTAAGCGATTTTTACTCAAGTAATTGCAAAGGAGTTAAGGAATTTACCGCCTCCAATGTATTGTCACCTTATGTGTTCCGTGTCCTGGCGTCCAGGACCATATGCAAAGGCAAAAAACGTTTAACTACATGCCGGGTAGCATGCGAGCAAGATATTTTCATTTGTTGATGCAGGGTTATGGCAGCTAATGTCAATCTAAGGCTTGTACATAGCTGATGTGATGTGAGCTTGCATGTACATAACAGCGTACAGCCTCAGCTCTTATGCCCATTGAAGTTGTCCGAGATCTCAACATTTAAACAATAAAGTTTGTACAGGACAACAGTTAACCCGCATGCAGACTTTACGAATAGATGGAATTATAGATTCTGCGCAACGGCGCTTGTTTTCTTGTATCATCCAGTACGTTAGCATTTCTTTGTGCAATCGTCTTTTTCGCAATCTTTTTTGGGTACAATAGAGTACCGAGGTGTGGTGTCATCAAAAGTCAATTTTCTTAGAATTTCTTAATTTTGACCACATAAATTGTAAGAAAGTCATAAAATACCTCTCAATATGCAAAAACAGTTAAATATGTTCGAAATTAGGCGAGATATGGCCAATGAAAGATTTCAAGTTTGCTAACGGATTACGGTTATTCTGGCCTGGTTCATAAAGTTATGAACCAAGACGAAATTACAGAGGTTTGATAGGGCAAGAGCCTGTGCTCATGTGGCCATTTCTCAGCCAATTTGTAACAAAATCATCTTCAAAATCATTTGTGACGTCGTCCCTTCGGTACTCTATGGCTTCGAAATGAAAGACATCTCATTGTCTCGTGAAGAGACATCTCATTGGTGCATGAAAAGACATCTCATTGGCTCTAAAGACAAGGAATTTTGAATAAGGGACTAGTCTTGCGAAATACGTGATAACAAGAAAATGTGTCCCGTTGCGCAGACTCTACAATTTGCACTATTTGTAAAGTCTACACGCAGGCTAGCTAACCGCACTGTCTGTGGTTCTTGGCTAACAGATAAGAAGTTTTGTAGGATTTTTCGTATCTATCAGACAATAAACCGACTTGCTGAATTGTCTGAAAGCCTAACTGAGAATGCAATGTTCTGAGCTGCATTGCGTATTAATTGATTCAGCTTTCCATGTATGCAGAATTCACTTTACACCTTACGTCATTCGAGACCACAATCGTTTGCATGATATCAAACGTCAACCCGCTTGATGAATTTATGGTCATGAATAATTAATTTCTACGAGCACCTATAAGAAATTTGTTGTCCAATTACAGCAAAACGACTGGTAAATATTAGTCCACGGCTTTCAAGAAGTTTCGTTGCCTATCATGGAAACCTTTTACAGCGTAAAGTATTCCATTTTATTGTGAATTGAACCGTTTTATCATATCTGCTTCAATCTCAATCGACATCTATATTTCGCAGCCTTGTATTAGCAGTTGATTGAATCAGACGGTCAAGAACTGAAGATGTCGAAAGTGGCCAAAGATCCAATTAAGGTAAGCTTACAACTGCTAAAATTCTTTCTACTCAACGTAAATCTTTCTCCGTTAACGTGTTAAAATATTTTAAGCAAAAGACAAAATTATCAAGCAATATATTTTTTAGCCTTATTACTCAATAATCTTGAAGATTTTGCTTTTCAGAACTTTAAAAAGCCTGCCTAGAGTGAATAATCAAGGCAATTACGAGTGGAGTTTGATTTTATGACAAAAATTTCGACAATTATAAAATACTATTCATATTTTTTATCATTTCGTTGGTGTTACCAACATTTTTCATTGACTATTCTGACTATAAATAATGGATTTAATACTGAAAGGCTCTCTCAAAGGATTCTCAAAAACGATAGCAAGAATTGGGTTATTGTTCTACATTAAGGGTAGAGGCCTAACCTCTGCTATAAATCAATTGACTTTTCAGTTTATTATTTTGCGCAAATATTGCGATTTATAGTTTTTAATTTTTCCCTCTGCTTCTTTGGCTTGTGATGCATTTTGCCTATGGCATTATTTGAGAGGCACTCCACTACCTAAAAAAGCGTACGGGATTTTTGTGATTTCTAAAATCCCTAAAATCCTTGAACAGATTTTACAGGGTGGTCCGGATTTCTTGGAATTTCCTAAAAATGTCCAGGGACTTTGAATGGATGTTAAATATTCTTGAATACCTTTGAAAATGTGTAAATGTATCGTAAATCCATTAATAATCTTTTTAAGGCTACGTTCACACTGCTCCGTTTTCATTTCTATCCGTTTTTGTGAATAAAAACGCGGTCCGTTCACACTGCTCCGTTTTAAAATGAAAACGCTATGAAAACGGTAGGCGTTCTCATTGCTCTAGCGAAAACGCAGTCGCGGCCTCCCTTTCAACACGAGTCGTTTTGCCACAAAACTGGCGCCAAACCGAAACACACACACGAAGCCACGCCATTCTCGATTTTGCATCAAGGAGTCGATAAGAAATTTAATCAAGAAATTGCTTTCAAGCTTAAACATGCCACCTAAACGAAACGAGGATGTATTTACCATGACCATCAAGCATTTGTTCTGCCAGGGCGACCCAAAATCGACGTTCCTTCGACTGGCGTCGTTTGTCAATCAAATTGCATCTGATTTGGTGAATGGATCTATTAGCCATTAAAAATCTCAACATTAATTTCTTCCTACGTGCATTGTAACTTTGATTCAACGCTGCAATGACTGCTATGAAACTACGAACAGAAACCAAAGCAAACAGCATTTGAATAGCAGTCGTTATCGCTCTAATGTCAGCCATTTTAAAAAAACACTGTATTTTGATTCTTGGCGCCTTCAGCATCGAATCTTGCTGCTGTTGTTAGCGTTTTCAAATGTCTCCGTTTTTGGTGTTCACATTGAAAACGGACCGTTTTCAAAACGCACCGTTTTCAGATTTATGCGTTTTCGTTAGCGTTTTCAAAAGCCGCCGTTTTTACATCGGAGCAATGTGAACGGAAGGCCTAAACGGATAAGTTTTGCTCCGTTTTCTTATGAAAACGTAGCAGTTTGAACGGGGCCTAAGTCATCTCAGCTTCGATTTCATTCACTTAGGCCCCGTTCACACTGCTGCGTTTCGTTTAGGTGGCATGTTTAAGCTTGAAAGCAATTTCTTGATTAAATTTCTTATCGACTCCTTGATGCAAAATCGAGAATGGCGTGGCTTCGTGTGTGTGTTTCGGTTTGGCGCCAGTTTTGTGGCAAAACGACTCGTGTTGAAAGGGAGGCCGCGACTGCGTTTTCGCTAGAGCAATGAGAACGCCTACCGTTTTCATAGCGTTTTCATTTTAAAACGGAGCAGTGTGAACGGACCGCGTTTTTATTCACAAAAACGGATAGAAATGAAAACGGAGCAGTGTGAACGTAGCCTTAGTACGACGTTACCTAGTTACAATACAACTACGATATTTTTAGTAGATTTCTGAGGTGTGACGTCTTAAAGATCTCTTTTTAGAATGTTTGAATTTTGACCACATAATCCAAAAGAATATCGTGAAGATCTTTTAAAAATGCAAAAGTGTTTAAATATGTAAAAAATCTGATGATATATTGTCAACGAAATATTAAAATTTGCTAACGGATTACAAAGTTATGAACAGAAAACTTCTTAATAAATCTTCCGAACTATTACTAACATTTTACAAAATTCATAGTTAATGGAATATTTGAGAAATTGGAAATGTTTTAGGATCGCATAAAGTTTTCCAGGGATTTTCGGATTTCTAAAGGATTTCTTGCGGTTTATGGATTTTTTTCGGAATTTCAGAAGGGGTGTACGGGATTTTTTTTGAGTGAAATGCGCCTCGGCAGTATGAACGTACAATTTCATTGGCTCATGACAGTAATAGCCTACAGTCGTATTGGCTTTCGTCAGTATTAGCTCACCATAGTGTTGCCCTTGGACAATTTTTCCTTTCGATAATATTTCCTTACGATAGTATTGGGTTTGATAGTATTGGCTTATGATACTTTTTGCCTATGACAGTATTAACGTACATTAGTACTGGCTGTAGTCAGTATTGGCTTTCGAAACTATTGGTTTGCGATGGTATTGACTCTGGATGTTATTGAATTTCGATGGTATTAGCTTATAATGGTATTTGCTCATGATAGTGTTAGCTCTAGATTCTATTTCTTTACAACATAATTGGATTACGATAGCATTTGATTTCGATAGGTTTCAAGGTTCTTCATTTTGGTTGAGACAAATCTTCTGTTTTTTTCTGTAAAAGAACAGGCTTTCAAAAGAAATCTTGTTTTCAATGTGGATTGATACATGATAAAAGATAAAACGGGTGACATATTTGCTCTTGTCATTTCGCCAAAACCGTCTTTGAACTTTTGAATCAATTTAAATTATAATGTATTTAGATTGCTATTTACAATGAGAAAATATCCTTTGCCGGTGGTGCGGCTTCAATAGATTTACATGCTTTGTTTTTGCAAAAGCAGAGGATGAGTTATCAATTAAAGCTATTGAATTTTTCCATTCAAGTTCCGAGATATGTAAAGAATTCTAGAATAGACTGGTGGCATGTGCTTTGGGCTAGTTTCTTAGGTCTCGTAAGATTACAAATAGGGCTGAGTCAGCTTTTTTATAGCTGGTGCATATGATTTCACACAATATCTTGAAGTACTTTCCACAGCATTACATTGTATTGTGTCCCTATCTTTCTTTTGGACAGAAAAATTCAGGGAAAATGGAGTCTGACCTTGAATTGCAAGACTTATCCGATGACCTTTACGCAGATGAGATGATAGAGTTGGAATACATGCTTGCAAAGATAGAACAAGATAAAAAGATTGGGAAAAAAAAGGCTGCGCCTGTGAAAGAGGATGATCCTATCAAAGAAAGTGGCAGAAAGAAATTAGCAGCTGTTGTTATTGCACTTGGAATCGAGGCCGAACTGCCAGCTGAATTCTATGAGAAGTTATTGGCATCAAGAAGAGCCAAAATGTTGATTAGGACGATTACAGACAGTAAAGAGGCCAAAGATTTGCTGAGCAAAATGTCGAGTTATTAGAACAAGACTCATTTATACGAGATTTGATTGAATTTATAATGACACTGTCATCCTTTTCATGGGATGGTACCAGGAACTGCGGATTATATTAAGAATTGAGAAGGGACTGAAATGTTTGGGGGCTTAAAATGCAAAACATCTGGAGCAAGATTATTTTCTATTGTTTCAAGTACAGTTTTGAAAATTGTTGGGGATTCTCCCCAATAAGACCCTCCCGCTTTTCCGGTCCCTCTACGATGGCAGGTACTGTTTGGCTGCATAGAGGATCAAAACCATCCTAACAACAAGAATTAATGGAGTAGGATTCTTGTATAATAATGTAAATATTGCTTGCTATTTGTTCTTCGTAGCATAGGTGTTTCAATAACTAGAGGAACGTTTAGTCAAAATTAGACTTTTTAGCGAAAATTTTCATTCCCAAAACATATAGCATAACCATCCATTTAACGCCTCAGGCGTGAGTAAAACCCTTGTTTCTCAACGGAGGGGGCTTGAAAAAGAGGGGGCGTTATAAAGGGAGGGCCGATGAGACAGTGAAGAACGTTTAGCTTTTATCGTTGTTAATTAGAAAGGTCTTATTGGAAATTCTAGTATTGCATTTACAAGTAAGAAAGCAAGTAGAGGTTTTGACAGATCTTGACTTTTTTTCTGTTCTGCTTCTTTTGAAAGTAATAAGCCTTATATGGTGTACTATAAAGGCCCTTTTAATTTTCGAAATTTTCTAAACGACGGGAGGTTTTGGATAGGTAATTGAGAGCAGAGAAATAGGATATTGTACTTCACTGATCGCTTATAGAATTTGTTTTAATTGTTCGATGAAAGTTATACAAATTGTTAGATCGTTGAAAATCTTTATTTTAGGACTCGGCTTCCATAATATGTTTAAATATAGCATATTGAAAACGCCTTTTTCTCTTAATAAAATCACTGAGGCTCGATGTGCACATACCCACTCTCTGGAGAAAAATTAGGAGAAGGACAATGTATTTTTGAAAATTTTCTTTCTTGTCAAGAAACCGTGCTACTAAAACATTCATGCAAAAATTTTGATACCAGTCTCAAAAGAAATTTTTAGTAAATAGTTGTATAAAAACTCTTGTTGGAATAAACATGATATTTCAAACACCTGAGCCTCATTTTAGTCAAATATTACCTGGTTCTTATCGATGAGTAGAGTTTATGCTCAGTCAGATATTCGGAATGTTTCAGACTTTCACTTCTACCAATAACCACCTTACGATTTGGGTGGATCCTTGAATTTGGGTATTTTGCAATACTTGCTTGCGAGTCTGACGGCACATGCTCCGTTATGATATTTTCAGAAAGGGTCTGGGCATTACAACTGTTCGTAGAGGGCATGCGTACCCGTGACTTGGTTGGAAACAAGTATGAGAGGCATGCAGTAGTGCCAAGACTTTGAAGCAGCCCAATTAAATTGGTTTTTCTTTCTAAATGTCGTTTTTTGGGCTAACCTGGAGTATAATGCCAATTGGTAACTGAATTGTTGCTCTTCAGAAATTAAACAATCAATTAACGTAACTTGGGATTATTTTTCTACTTTAAAAATGACTTGAGAAAACAAAAAAATTCCTTAAGATTTCAGCAGTCTAAATTGGGGTTTAATATGTAACGGTCTTTTTTGTTACTCTTCTTCATAAATAGCTTCTCTCAAGTCTTGAAAGGCCCCTCGGAAGGCGCCTTTGTGCAACGAATTCCCAGCCTTCATTTCGGCATTCAAATGCTGCCACTTAAAATGGTAGACCTATAATGGTAGGTCTGATTTCAAATTCAACCTCGTGAATATTATTCTCGTATTGAAACAGTATTATGGTCATGATTTGATCAAGCTTTTCTTGGAAAGACCTTTCTTGCAGATTTGTTTACAGACACAACGTGGGTTATTGCCATTTTTATTGTTTGGTTGTTCTGCTCTGAGGTTTGTGTTTAAATTTATTCTGTTTTGATTTAAGTTATTCATCTGTGTGGTCCTTTGTCAAACTTTACAGAACACTTTGACTCAAGGCCCTGGCGAAATGGACTTTCTTTGAATGTGCAGAATGTAAAGACATTTTGAGACGATAGAATAAATTGACTCTTGAACCCACGCACATCAGAAATTTTGAATAATTTCCGTTGTGATTATTTTTCGTTATGTTCCAGAGAATCTCAGCTACACAGCTGGTCAATGTTGCTAGACTGTGCATACAAACCATTGTCCCTGGTATTGACATTATATTTCATTTTATTAGAAAATCCTTTCTGTGAGATGTGACGCTCTGCTAAAACTTCTGTCCTTCATTTTCTCTTCAAGGTATGAGCAGTTCTTGTCAACAATATACA